CAGTACCCCCCCCAGGAGAAGCCCCGGGGTCAGCCCCACCCACAAGCACACCGGCTCACTCACTAGTGGGCTCCGATTACTGTGGTCTGCCCCGGGGGCCCAGAGGCCGCCTGACCGCCCGCCCGGGTGGAGCCCAGCTTTTCCTTCCATTTCTCTTCCTGCCAAGGAACTCCCTGCCCCCCCTTCCACAGGGGTACCCCCCCTTCCATGCGCCCTTGGGGGCCAAAACGGATGGGAGGCCGGACAGGCACGAGATGAATTTCTCTCCAAGAGCTACTGGGCCAGGACCTGACTTCTGCTGGATCTGTGGGTCCCCAGAGGTCACCCCAGTGTCTCTTAACTGCTGTAGTCTGCGCCCCAAAACAGTGGTACCAAAGAGGAATGGGTATGGAAGCTATAGGGCAAGGTCTGGGCTGAAGGGGGAGAGCTCCCCGCTAGATTCACTGTCACCCCAGCTGGAAGCAGCATCCCCCTCCCCCCGGACAGGCACGGGCAGAGTGACAGACAGGGAAGCCGGTTGGGAGGCACAGACGGAGTTGGGGGAGGGGGTGGGCAGAGACTTTCAAAGCCAGACCCAGCCACCCTGCCAGGCACACAAAGAGCCAGCACACTCACCGGCAGCAGCTCGAAGCCTCCGAGCTGCGCCCGTGCCCGTCCCCGCCGCCTGGGGCACGTGCTGCAGTGCACACAGGCCGAAGCCCCCGCCCGCCGCCCCTCCCACGGGGAGCCCCGGACTCCTGGACACGCCTCTACCCAGGCACACTATGCCCAGATCGAGCTTAGCCTGCACTCGCACCCTCCTCTCTTTCCCTTCCTTGGCCACTCTGTAATCAGATTCCTAAATTTAGAAGCAGCCCTGGCCCCGACCGGGGATCCCCGCCCCCACCCACTGGCTGTGGCCGACCGGCCGGGGTCCTGCGGTCAGGCCACGACCTGGCTGGGGCGTCCTGTTCTTTGGGGTTCCTTGCTGAGCCGGCAGAGGCAGACACGACCCCACCCGACTTCGGCACTATCGGGCCACATAGGGCCACCCAGTAAGCGGCCACGTTGCCCGCCACACCTCAGGCCAGAGTTATAAGGCCTTTTTCCTCCCCTTAAATCATGAGCTGGGCACCAAGCTCCAGGATGGAGATATCTGAGACAAAGAAAGAATGAATGAACCAGACGCAATCTGACCTGAAGGGGTCTGTTCGAAGAGGCAAAGTGACTTCTGGTGACCCCTAGAAATGAGTGACGGGGGCTAGACCTGTCTCCAACACCTCTACCCTTTAGGGAGGTGTTCCTATTTTTATGCCTTTGCCTAGCTGGGAGCCATTGTGCACACCACAGTCCTATGATGGCGTCTTTCTTGCTTCTGGCAGCCATTAGTCAAGGCTTCCATTGGGTCCCTCATCCTCTACTTGTCTCCTTCCATACTAGAACCTGCGATCCTAGGCCAAGATCCTACCCCACCCCAAGCCTCAAGCATCAAGCTTAGTTCTTTTCTCCTTCCTCCAAGGCTGCCCCCATGTGCCCTGGCACAAGGCCTAGCAAGGATCACAAGCCACTGGCTTCCTTTCGGTCTTACAGTCACTCCTCCCATACACTAGGACCCAATTCTGTTCTCATTTATCCCTGGAGCCAGCCCTGACCCCCCCCCCAACACACTACTCCGGGGTGGGGGGGGGCAGGGGAGGGAGGCTTTATTATTTTTTAGGTAAGGGTGCTGTCTGGAACCCCTGAGGTAGTGAGCCTTCTGCCAAGGAGGTGAGACACAACATGAGGGGCGTCAGAAGAGTTTAGGGACAACTGTGGGGACCACAGGGTTCAGAGAGGTGGTTGGTTCCAAGGGATCAATTTCATCCCCAAGCTGCAAGGGCACAGGGGAGGGGCAAGGCCCCACCCTCCCACCTGCTGCAGCCGCCCCCTCCCCAGCTGGCCCCCTCTTTTGTGCGAAGGCACACAAAGGACAAGGGGCCCTGGCCGGTCTGGCCATCTGCTCCTAGCAGCCTGGAGGCTCTTAAAGAGACAGCTCCCCCTCCCTGCAGCCCTAGGGCTGTGGGGTGTGGCTATGCCACAGGACTCAGTCTAGGCAGTACCCCAGGTCCCACCCACCTTTCTCTAGTTCCCCAAGTCCTAAGGTCAGGAATCTTCTTTCCTCAGATGTGGGGTGCAGAGGTGCCACGTGGGCAGGAATAGGGGTGTGATAAGGGAGAAAGGCAGCCAGGGACCAGCCCCTCCTCTCATGCAGCCTAAGGAAGCACAGAGACGAGCTGCAAGAACTGGGTCCCTCACCTCCCTGAGGCCACCTGCAAGCTTGGCGAGAGCTCAGGTCTCCCAGGAATGCTCTCCCGCCATTTTGACGGATGAGCTTCCACTCTTGGCCCACAGGGAGGGAAGGTGAACACAACAGCGCCCTGCCTTCTTCTCGGGGATGCAAGCCAGGGCACAGGCTGCCTCCCAGCAAGCCCAAGCCCACAGTCAGGCACATTTGTCCCCTGCTCTTCCAGATGAAGGAACTGGGGCTCTGCTTGGCCCCATACAGGCCTCTGCCTGAAGCTTGCCTCCCTTGCCTAGGCCCTGAAATGCTCCTGGGCCCTCAGATCCCCAGGAAAGCCTGCTCTAGCCCAGCCAGCCCAGAACAACTCATTAATTTACCACTCTGTTCACAGATACAAACACGCTTGATAGGTTGTGTCATTGTGCTCACTGCTCTGTTCTTAGAGCCTAGCATACAGCAGGCACTCAGCATTTGCTGAAGGAAACAACAGACATCAGGAGCCCACAGCCTTTATCCTTAGCTGGGCTCCTGTGTGCTAGACCTGCTGGGCATCTTGCCTCCTCCCTCTTCAAGGTGAGGCAGAGGGACAAGGGCTGAACAGGGATGCTGGGAAAGAAAAGCAAGGGTGACCTTGGGTGAGCCACCGGGCCTCCCCTCCTCTCAAAGGCGGGGGCAGCTCCAGCCAATCCCTAATCTGCCAGCCCTGCTAGACAGACTGGGACTGTCCGGAGAAGAGGCTGGAGGCTGGCTGCTGTGGTGTGGTGCCTGGGACCCTCGCCAGGTCCTCAGTGGCCACAGCCAAGGGGCTAAGCTTAGGGAGAGAAGCAGGCTGGAGTGGAGGGAGGGTGGCAGGACCCAGGCAGAAACCTGGTTAAGCAACGGGGAAAGCGAAATGCTCCCCTTTCAGGAGGAGGTGGGTACGGGAGGTGCCCCATGGAAGGAGCATGGGGAGTTCTCCCTACCCCCTTCAGTACTACTCAGACAGGAATTCCTCCTCCAGAGCCCTCTGTGCCCCCTAGGGGCCTTCTGGCCTGCTGGGGACCCAGGGTGCTTCCTTCCCATCTGAGCCCTGTTGGTGATCACCACTCTCTCTAGCAACACCCACCCCACCCCCACTGTTCAAAAAAAAATGCTGAGAGGTAACAGAGGTGGCCATCCAGTGTTTGGCACCACCTCAGCTCCGAGACTGAAGGAGGCTCTGGGCCAAGCAGAAGTAGCTATGAGGTCTGAGAGTTGACCCCAGGCTTCCTGACTGACCCGCAGAGCCAGGGAAATCCAACACCTAGAACCAAGCGTCTGGGAAGCTAGGAATAAAGGGTTCAAAGGCCTTGGCTGACAGACAGGAAAGTGACAGGGGCCTCCCAGACCACATAAGAGGCAGCTTCCAGCTCCAGGAGGCTGCTTGGATTCCAAAAGGCTTGAGAAGTGGATGGCCCCTCACCCTCACCTGGGCAACAGATGCGCCCTCTGGTGGTAACAGTCCAGAACAGAGGAGACCCACCTTGTCCAGGGCATTAGGTTGCGCCTGGCACCAAGAGGATCCAAGCTCCAGGACCCGGTCCCTGGCCTTTGGTGCCTACCTACCTATCCTGGGTCATGGGAGTCACTGAACCTTAGATCCATCCACAGTAAGCCCCACCTCAGAGTTACCCAGAACCGCTCCGAGTGGAACCTGATAGACCACAGCAAACCAGGGAGCTCCAATCCAGGGTGACTCGCAGGTCTGCTTCTTGCTTGCTGTGTGGCTGTATGTGAGTGACTTGGCCTCTCTGACCCTCTACTCCTCCACTCCTAAGAGGGAATAATTTTCACTTCATCAATTATTAAGAAGATCCAATAACGACTCAGGTGGAATGCAGCAAGCACATCCCTCAATACTAGTTTTCTTGTGGAGCCAGCATCCAACCTACCCAGCAGGCCTTCGCTTACTGCTTCATGAGGCGGCCCACACACTGTGGACCAGCTTAAGGCCATCACCACTGTTGAACCACAGAGGGACTCCCCGGGTCTGACCCCTGTCCAAGAAGTTTCTCAGTGGCATTAGACAAACTGCGGTTTCCCTTTAGACTTACCAACAGCCCAGAGGCCTGCCTCAGTCTGATCCTATCCATCCTTCAGTACTTCTTCCATCGTGGCCCACTCCCATTCAATGACCTTCCCTGTTGTTTTCCTGAAAATCTTGCCCAGCCTGGTACTGGAGAGCTTTCTAGTCTGTACCTTGTTCAGCCAAACAGGTCTGTTCACCATCCCAGAGCCCCAGGTATTTCACCCACCCTGCAAACACCAGCCTGGCCTACCCATCCGTGTGCCCCTGGGGCAGCCTCTCCCATCGACTGCCAAGGGATGTATTCCGCTCTGCCTCCTCACTCCCAAGCACGCCCTGCCTGGCCTCACAGTGCTCAGTTCTCACCCTCTGCGTGATTCTTTTCCCCCAACCCAGAAATCTGCCTCATCCTTGCCTCTGGGCCCCAGCCAAACCCCTCTTACCTCTCTCTCCAGCCTCTTTTACTATGGCTTCTCTTTCCAGCTAGAGCTACTGCTTCCCTCTTCCCCCCAGTCTGGGCTTCTTGAAAGGGTGTTCACACCCTTCTATCCCTGTCCTCACCTCCCACTCACTCCCCAATCCAAGCAGTGCCACCCCACAGAAGCTTTCTGCCAAGGTCACCAGCAGTATGGTTATCTCTAAATGCCAAAGACATTGGGCAGGGGGGTCATTCTGCCCTGGGCACACTGGACACCAGTCTCCAAAGCCTTAGTGGTTAGTCCTCAGGGCTCTGAGTCCCTCAGCTCTCCAGGTTCCAATGCTACTGCATTGGCTGCACTATCCCCAGCCCAGCCCTCTCTGCCCTAGGCTCCCTCAAGAAGGCAGAGCTGACCATGAAGTCTTTGCCACCAGCTGCCTGCCATCCTTCCTCCCTGTAGCTGATTTCAGGTTCTCTCTCCAAAGCGGCCATGATGCCGTGATGCCCCTCCCCCACTTTCCAGTCTCACACCCACCTCCCTGCCTCCTCGCATCCCTCTTCTAATCTGCCCCACGCCCCATTTAGGTTTTTTTTTTTTTTTATGTTTATGGGTGCTTTGTCTGCATATTTGTCTGTGCACCATGCGCTTGCAATACCCTCAGAGACCAGAAAATGGGCATCAGTTCCCCTTGGACTGAAGTTACAAACAGTTGTGAACCCACATGTGTGTACTGAGAATCAAACTCAGGTCCTCTGGAAGAGCAGCCAGTCCTCCAAACCAGTAAACCATCTTTCTAGACTCTTTTTTTTTTTTTTTTTTTTTTTTTTTTTTTTGGTTCTTTTGAGACAGGATTTCTCTGTAGCTTTTGGAACCTGTCCTGGAACTAGCTCTGTAGATCAGGCTGGTCTCACAGAGATCCAGAGATCCGCCTGCCTCTGCCTCCCGAGTCCTGGGACTAAAGGCATGCGCCACCAACGCCCAGCTCTTTCTAGACTCTTGTAACCTATTATTTCACAGTTGAATGATCTTCCTAAAACATGACCCGATTGAGTCAGTCCCCTGCTTCTCATTATCCTGTCCCCAAAACAAAAGAGCAAGCTG